AGTGTCAACAACGGCCACAGGGGCTCGCTGGAAAGATGGATGGTACCAATAAGGGCATATGGGAAACTTTTGTGCTGGTTCTCAACGGCCATCCGTTAGGGGCATACTGAAAATTTGGTACTGGTACCGGTAGGGGCATATGAAACATTTTCAGGCCCAAATGCCGCCAGGGTTTTTCTGGAAACATCATTCGTCGTCAGAGGGGCGCGACAAGGTAAGTCGGCCGTCAGAGGGGCACGCCGCAAATAAACGCAAACTTCAGGGGCATTTCGAAAATGTTACCCAAAAAAAAAAAAAAAAAAAAAGAGAAATCCGACTGATACGGGTCAATCGGAATGCAAGGCATACGCGCTCTCCAAGTGCCTTTCTGTTTGAAAAAGTGGACCAACTTTTCAGAAATAGCTTTTTTGGAAACATTGGAGTACACCTGAATGGATGTGGACGTGATTGAGGACATGTGCAGAGATGGCGTTGAGTAACCTCAACTGCACATCTCCACAAACACAACCAGATTCAGGCGTTGAGGAAACTCAACACTGCTGAAGTGGGACTTGGCCCCGGGGGGCAGACTGACGGACTACCGGTAGTGGAACCGTGCTGCACCCCCCCCCCCCCCCCCCCCCCCCCCAACCAAAAAAAAAAAAAAAAAAAAAATCCGTGCTGCGGACTACGGCAGCCTGTTACGTTGAGTTGGCCTACGATAGGCACAGGGAGAAAGAAAAAACAAAAAAAACAAAAAACAAAAAAGAAAGAACAAAGGGAAAGAAGCCTATCACCGGCAACCTACCGGTAGGCGGGTGATTGTGGCCCGCCGGGGTCCTTTTCTCTGGGAGGCTTCCCCAGAAAGGGTTCGTGACTGGAGAAACTACCGGGGGCAAGGTACCACTTGCGCAAATTAGGAGATTTTCGGCCGTTGATCTTTGCTATGTACGGTCAGTATCTCTTAATTCGTGCAAGTGGGACCTAGCCCCGGGTAGGTGGGCGGCTGTGGGAGAAAGGGTGGGTGACTGTAGAAACTACGTAGGTAGGGCTCTCAAGAAAGGGGGGTGGTAGGGTTTTGGAGGGGAGAGAGGCTTGGGAGAGAGGGGTGGTGTATTTCCACTCTCTCACGGATCGGCAAGGCCGCCGCATCTTCGCGATCATGACAACTGACAGCAGCCTCAACGTGTCACGAAGGTGAGTCATCCGACATTCGACATTGTCCTGCATCATCATCGTATTTTCATCGCTACGTTCCCCGCCGTCTCTCACTCCCCACTTTCTCCTCTTCCTCCTCCATTTCTCTGTTCCTGCTTTCTCCTACTTCGTGCACTTCGTTCTCTCCTCGTCCTCCTCCCCCTCCCCCTCCTCCTCCTCCTCCTCGTCCTCCTTCTCCTCCGTTCCTTTGTCTTCCTTTTTCTGCCCTCCCTGCTTCTCGCCCTTTGCTGTTTTGTTGTCCCTCTAGACACCGATGTGCGTGTCTGTGGGGAGAGAGAGAGAGAGAGAGAGAGAGAGAGAGAGAGAGAGAGAGAGAGAGAGAGAGAGAGAGAGAGGATCCAAACGTGCCAGCGGCATGCCTGTATTGGACCGGAGAGAAAGCTTTCAGTGCCACGTGTCGCCCCGCTGGTTTTATTGTTCCTTTTTCCTTTTCTTGTTCTTGTTCGTCTTCTCGGTCATTGCATTCACACAGAGACAGAGAGACACAGAGAGAGAGAGAGAGAGAGAGAGAGAGAGAGAGAGAGAGAGAGAGAGAGAGAGAGAGAGAGATGATGTGCGTAGTAGTGCCACGTGGCACGATGCTGCGTGCCACGTTTCCTCTGTTGATTTGATTTTTTCGCCTTCTTGCAATGGTCATTGTCATCATCGTTTTGGTCGTGTTCGTTGATTGGGTGGGCAGACGGGAGAGAAAAAGGGAGGGAGGTGCCTCACGATTAATGCCACGTGGCAGCCTTGCTTGGCCCATCGCTTATTCATTGTCCATTCTAGTCCTTCCTTCTTTGACGTCGTCTTTTTCCTCTCTCTTGCTGTTCCAGTAGTCCTCGTCGTGGCCCTTTTTTTTTGTTTTAATGCTCCTTTTTTTCTTTTTATTAGTTTTTGAGCTCTTTTTTTTTTTTTTTTTTTAACGTATTGAATTTTTGAACGACGTTGAGCACCTCGTTCGAATCGTTACCGTTCGATTGAGTAGGCAGGCTTCGGCTCTTTTTCCAATCGCTCAAAAATAAATGGATCTTTTTTCCAACGACTGTGAAATAGAGAGATTGGACATTTTGCTGTACACTTTTACTGTATGATCAGGAGAGAGCCAAACCGCTCAATCATTCCGACGAAACAGAAGATATTTGACCCTATAGTGTGTAAGTGGCCCAATTTTTGGTGTGAAAAATGGCCCAATTTTTGATTTGGTGTGAAAAATGGCCCAATTTCTGGTGTGAAAAATGGCCAATTTTTGGTGTGAAAAATGGCCCAATTGTTGGTGTGAAAAATGGCCCAATTTTTGGTGTGAAAAATGGCCCAATTTTTGGTGTGAAAAATGGCCCAATTTTTGGTGTGAAAAATGGCCCAATTTTTGACACAGTCGGGCGACAGACGCTATATTGCGTTTTGGTGTAAATGGTTCAATTTTGTATTAGAAAAGTCATACACAGTAATACCCTCTTTTTTTTTTTTTTTTTTTTTCTTGGGGACCATTTCTCGATTTATGCTTGTCGTCCTTGCGCAGGGGCCATGCTACTCTTCTTTCTCTCTCTCTCTCTCTCTCTCTCTCTCTCTCTCTCTCTATCTCTATCTCTATCTCTCTCTCTCTCTCTGTGTGTGCATCGTTCCACTGTTAAATTAAAAAAAAAATAGTACTACTGAAGTGAATTGTGATGCGACAAAAATGGGCCAACTTGCCCTCCTCATACACGGAAGTGAAATTTCCATCAACAATAACAAAGAGCCTTTCGTAATGGTTTTGCGACTTCGGTGGCACTTCTTTTTTTCTTTCGGTCATACACACCTCCATCCATGTTCAATTCCAGAATTCCTTGTTCAATTCCAGAATTCCATGTTCAATTCAATTCGAGAATTCCTTGTTCAGTTCCACGTCCAAATGCCGATTTGGTGAAGTACCGTGAAACAATCCGACGGTGGTGGCTCGACATCAATGAGAGCCATATTCAACGGATGAGATGGTGATGGTTCAGGGTAGCAATCGCTTTTTCAGGCTTCATTTATTCCGTCTGCCACCCGAATAGAACGCCTGGTCATTATCGCTGCACCTCCAAGAACAGCTATACGGGAGGGAGGGCGTTCTATTCGGGTGACGACGGGAGGGAGGCTTTAAGGACCAGGCGTTCTATTCGGGTGACGATGGGAGGGAGGCTATAAGGACCAGGCGTTCTATTCGGATGACGACGGGAGGGAGGGGGACAAACTTGCAAGAACAGAGAAAGCATGGGCGGGGGATGGATTTGCCACAATTTGAGAAACTGATATGTATATATATCGTCAAACCGTGTATCGGAGCGCAAAGGCGAAAAAAGACAACAAAAAAGGGAAAAAGTAAGTAAGGAAAGCTCTGCCTGTTCATCACCTCTTACGTACATGGCCGGCCACGTGGATATGTATATGATAGGTCGTCCTGTTCGCTTGTCCTTCCTTGGACTGGATCCCTTTCTCTTTCTCTTGCCTCTGTGAGGTCTGGTTTCCTCCTTTTCTTTACCTCTTTGCCTTTTAGTTGCGTGCAAGCGGGTCCTTGTGACACACGGGCGGGGATGGGGGCAGCCAGCGCTCAACCTGTCATCCACGTGGCTGGCCTTGTACGTAAGAGGTGATGAACAGGTGGGGCTTTCCTTCCTTCCTTCTTTTCCTTTCGTTGTTTTGCTGTTTTTCGCCTTCGCGCTCTGATTCACAGTGTGACAATATATATCTATATCGTGTATATAGTTATATATACGTCGGTGAAACTCCGACGAAACAGTCTGTCAGAGCCCCTCGTTTGTTGTCCTCTTCTCCCTCCCTCTCTCCCCCTACGGTTTACCGGGCAGCTCTGTTTGACGACATATATTTATATGTATATTCCGGGGGTGGGGGCAGCCGCCGCTCAACCTACATCCACTTGGGCGGCCTGTACGCAAGAGGTTCGGAACAGGGAGTTATAAGGAGGAAGAACAAAAACTGAATTCATGACCGCTTGGCACGGACTTCCGTTGATCTTACGCGACCCCCCTCCTTCCCCCCTCCTCCCCCCCCTGACTCTTCTCTCTGTTGCTCAGTTATCAGCAGAGAGTTCGTATACTAGCGGGGGGGATTGGAACACATGACCGCTTGGCACGGACTTCCGTTGATCTTACGTGACCCCCCC